ATTGGCTATATGCAAGAAAATCGTCTTCTGTTGATTTTTGATTTTCCCTTCGAATTTCCTTGAAGGTCGCACTACATTTTCGAGCTCAAAATATTTGATTAACCATAGGAAAATCATTGAGATGACAACATTTAGACAACACGTGTTGAGTTCGGAACCTTTCTATTACCTTGTTTATACCTACACAAGAACCGCATTAACAAAAAACCGATTGGACTCAATATATATTTCTTTACAGCATTTATACCACTGTCTTTATAGCGCACTCGATAACGTCGTATTCAAAAGTAAACAAAATCTGTTATCTTTAAACGATATGTTTTTAATAAATAATTTGCGTTGTTGACCGAAATGGAAACAAACAGTAATTGTAATTTATTATAACAATAATTCGAATTTAAAACCAGCCTATTTTCACTTCACGTCAAATGAGTGATGCGCTTATACTTGGTTTCTAGCCGATGTGAGCATGATACAAAAAAGAAGGTAGTTTCATTACTACTATTTTTTGATTATAAAGCAGATTTTTGACATTTCTCCAGATGTAAACATTAAGCATAGTTTTTTTTTTGATAGGGGAGATTTTCTTTTAAATATTTGGGAGTAAAATTTACATACAAACAATAGTAAGTTGACGTGTTCGATAATCAAATTTGAACGTTTTTCTCAAGCGTTTAAAAGATCCTTTGGATAATATCGATGTGCAGAGATGAAGAAATAAAATAAAATCTAGTTTTGAAACATTTATTTATTAAAAAGCTGTTTTTCATTTCATTTTAAACAAAATAAATAAATTTACATAACAAAACTCTTTTTTTTTTGGTTAAATAGTCGGAAGAAGATGTAGACGAAATATCTCGTTATTAAAGCATAGTCCGAAACCAGGATTCGAACACAAAACCTCTAAAGAATGGGCAGCATTTTGGCAATGTAAACTGGTCTTTGGTAAAACGTGGGGTGTGCCACCAGAGGGAATCCTCTGGATTTATACCTCTATGATCAGACCCATAATTAGCTATGCGTCAGTGGTATGGTGGAGCAGATTCTCAATCAAGAGCGTGGGAGGTCTGCTTGCAAAACTTCAAAGAACTACTGCCGTGTGCGGTACGAAAGATTTCCCTACAATACGTGGCGTTGCTCTTGATGCGCTGCTGCACTTACCGTCATTAACTTTTCTCTTGGCAAGTATGCTTCGGTCTTCCAGGCTGAGGTATTTGCAATCCTCAAGGATATGGACTACGTGGTGGAAAATAGGAGGAGCGGAAAGAGTTTACGTGACGGCCAAGCTACACTTAACACACCACTTACTTCCAGACTCTGAGTGCCAGTTCAATCGGGAGTACCTCCTCCAAAACTATAATATTTATCATATCATGAATTTCAATTTTCGTTTTTGCGCATATCGAAGACACATTTCTTTTTTATTTTGTAAATATTTTTTTTACAATAAATAAATGGTTATTGAGGACTAGGTATGGTAGCACGAAATGTCACAATCTGCTTAATTGTCCGGTAGTTAATATGGCGCCCGAAAAGTGACAATGAAACTACCTTCTTTTTTGTATCATGGATGTGAGAAACAAACAACCGATTTGAAAACAAACTGAAGTCAATACTCTTTTCAATTTCAACGCGTTTTGAAATTTAGTTTATGTATACGTTTTGAATCACAGCGAACTGGGTCAAAGCGCTTTATGTGCCGGTATAAACTAGGTATATGTTTCACATTATGCCAGATTGGCGGTCGTTTTGATTAGCACGGAAATGACCTTACCACACCATGTGCATCTAGACATGCACTTTCGCATTTATTGAATATTATAAAAGCTAAATATGTGAATATTAAATAATCAAACTTAACAAAATTTTATAATTTAGATTAATGTCGCAATACTCATAAACTTCAGTGGACAATGTCTCAGGTATAAAACAAGATATCTCTTTGAGTTAAACAGCATTAACAAGCGGAAATATTTTGCTTTCAAATGATTTATTCAATTTTGTCTCGAATACCTAGGCCAACCGTCAAAACTGATTTTGGATTCAGATTCAGTGCAACGAAAACCTTTGGAAAAGTATAAGCTAGTCCCAGGGTCTGAAGTTTTTTTAAATTTTGTAGGCCTGTGTTATTTTCCGAGCAAAAAATAAAACTTAAAACGTAACGATTATTATTTTTTCTTTTTTTTTTAATTTAATTTTTATTGAATTTATTAATTTGTTTCAGTAGTACAGAGTAAGACTTATGTCTTTTAATAGTACTTCAACTATATATAAATATATATTATGTTTTACAATACTTATTGTATTGTATACTTGTATAGTAAAGTTTCTTAAATTTAAATTTTTACAAATTGTCTTAAACCACAAACTTTATTAAACAACAAAATACAATATATGTAACTTAACAATAACAACGAGTATGACTTAATTAATAGAAAAGAAAAAAAAAGAAAATCAGAATAAAACAGAAATAGTGGAGAGAGATAGAGAAAATTTTAATGCCCTTACACAATGCTATCAGTCATTTTTAAAATATTTGTAGATTTGCGTCTTGTAGTCGAATCTGTTTAACCCACTCTTTACGGTCTCAGGTAATGAATTCCAAACTCTTACTGCGTTAATGAAAAATAGTCTTGATGATGCTAGGTAAGTAAATTTTGAAACAATAAAACAGTTGTGTCTCTGTGACCTTACTGGTATCATCTTCTCAAACAGATAGGCAGGTATTTTAAATACAGTAAGTTTGTAACAGAGAGCAGAATGAATATACTCATTTCAACGTAGGTTTTGTAAGCTCAATGCTTTTCACTCAAAACAGCTAGTGGGAATCTTTGCTTTAGCAGTGATTCTCATGTCGAATGATATTGATTGGAAACGGGTTATATCAAGAAAATAAAGGCACGCAGCTTCGAAAATGGATAAGGAAGATGTAAGTGTTTATATTTTTGAATTGCTCGTAAATGTTATTACTTACATTTACTCAACAGGCATGTAATGATACTATGTGCAGTGATGGATCGTGACATCGGTCACGAGGTCGCCATGGTTGTTCTTACAGGAGTTCGCCCTGGTTTTGACATCTTTCGAAAGTCGCCTAACTGTCTGGTAAAAACTTCGGGCGTTTTTCCTTTCAGCCAGCATTCCTTTCATTGCCTTATTGCAAAACAAAAAACACTGCGTCAGATGAAAGATGCAATCTTCCTTTTCATGCCAAATGTTTTGATGATTATCACAAGCTAACATAAACATTTATCATTTATTTATTACATATTTAATTACTCGGCCGCTGTGGTGTAGTGGTAAGCAGTGCGCGCTTTCACTCCTCAGCACCTGGGTTCAAGCCCAGGTGTAAGAAACATCGAAAAAAAAATAGAAAAAATATTTTTTTAACGGCGGTCGTCCCTCGGCAGGCAATGGCAAACCTCCGAGTGTATTTCTGCCATGAAAAACAGCTTCTCATAAAAATACAATCTTCGTTCGGAGTCGGCGTAAAACTATAGGTCCCTCCGCTTTGTGTGACAACATCAAGGCGCACGCAACAAGTCGGAGGAGAAGCTCGGCCAAACACTAACATATGCGTAAGCGCCAATCTATTATTATTATTAATTACTCACGTATTAGATATAGTTAAGGTTTGAATGGCCTAAACGGAGTGTTTTTCAAACTTGTTTAGTATATTGTCTCGCCCAAGGTAATAGTAGTGGTTTCTTTCAATGTTGCGTTTTCGCAACGGCCCACCCTAGGAAGCCCAATGCGACTACAATTCTTTTGATCACTTTTACATCGTTCTACTAAAAAAAATTGTTTGCCTCTGGTATGAAATGTGTTGATAAATAATAGATTTTGTTCGAGTTGCACTAGAAGTTTCCTGATTTTCTCGATTTTAGCAAGTAAACTTGTCATTTAAACCGTTACTTCTGTTTTGAATGACTATTTATTGATATTTACACATAAAAGTATTATTAACGACACGTATTAACCGCGCTTGGCAGTGCCGCTGCTTTGTGGCGGCCACAATTGCCAGTACCCAAAATGTCCCTGTCTTAAAAGATCATATATCGACCAATCGAAAGCATAAAACCTATAGAATGTGTTAAACAGATGAGTGGAAATTACTAATATTACCTACCAGTTCATACCTGCCAACCCGAGAGGTACTTTAGATTGGTATATAATTTGTTCATTAAACAAATGAGTATAAAATTAAAAAAATAATAATAATTTTTGAATATTTGATTAAAAATATCCTGGCCAGGATTTATTCAGCCAACCCACTCGCAAAATATTTATTAACTCGTTAAATTTCATAGAAAAACGATTCCATCCATTAAACAGATGAAGGTCGTGCCTTTCTCGGATCGTAGACTATAAGGAAAGCTAGAAACACTGTAGGTGTTCGAAACTTCGTAATTCATACATAAACAATATCAAATAAGCCATACACTCGTTATTCAAAACAACCACTTGAAAATGTGATTCATTCACTCACTTGACTTTTTTATTTCAAAGCTAATGCATGTTGTGTTTACAGAGCACTGAGTGGTTGAGTGTATAGGTAAGAAAAGAAAACGAGTGACTTAATAAGCGTTGTAATTCCATCCATTCTGCTTGTTGCACCTGCAGGATTTGCAAATAAGAACGCTGGTTTCTTGGTTGTGCAATATGGTTGAAACCTAACGCGTTTTATTTCCTGAATAAATTTACAATGTTAAATGGTTTTTGCTGATTAAGAGTATGGTGAATTGGATTACAATTACTTACGCTTTTGTGCGTTCTCCTGCCTCTGGTGCACTCGCAATTTAGAAGTGAATTAAAATGGCGACTAGAAAATTCTTTAAGTTTCTCAAATGGCGGCTTTTCACAACAGTGTTGCCTTATGCCTCTTTTTACATTTAACTACGCAGAGTCGCATTCCAGAGGCAAGAGTACACATTCACAATATAAGTTTTGGAATAAATAGACATTAGGTGGTTTCACACAACATCCCAGCCTCCGTGAATCTAGCCCAGCTCAAATTCACCAACATCTAGCTTCGCCAGGATGCAGGCCGGTCGCTTGAAGACTCCGAACTTCGTTTTCACGTCAGCTGCTCTCTCTTGGGAGTCCTTGCCCGGATACACCTTCACCACTCTTCCAGTCGACCACTTGGAACGGTGCACGCTAGCATCGCAGATCAGGACTACATCGTCAACTTTCAATGCTTCGACCGGTTGGTACCACTTCGTTTTGCGGCACAAGTCTGGAAGGTATTCCGCGAGCCACTTCTTCCAAAATCGATGTTGGAGCTGTTGCACTTTTCGCCACTGTTTCCGCGTCGCACGCAGCATTTCTTGGAATGGATTGGGCGTCTGGTCAGAATTTGCGGTACCTATAAGAAAGTGGTTGGGAGTAAGAGGTTCATCGGTAGGAGCATCAAGAGGTATATGAGTTAGTGGTCGCGAATTTACAATATTCTCGGCTTCACACATAAGGCTATATAAACTGTGCTCCTGCAGGCTCTCGTTATATAACGCATCTCCCATCGCTCGCTTCACGCTACGTACTAGGCGTTCCCAACAACCACCTGCGTGAGGATTAAGAGGGCAGTTGAATACCCATTCTACGCCTACCTTGGACAACGCGTCAGCTAATTTCTCTGAGGAAAGGTCGGATAATTGTCGTTTCAATTCTCTATCTGCTCCAACGAAATTTTTCCCGTGGTCTGAACGTATGCGGACCGGAGTGCCTCGCCGGTTCATGAAGTTACGTATGGACATCAAGCACGTATCGGTTGATAGATCTTTGGCCAGCTCGAGGTGTACAGCGCGTGTAGTTAGGCATGTGAATAGCGCGATCCAACGCTTCTCGCTACGACGACCCATTGTTACAACGAATGGTCCCATATAATCCAATCCAACATAGGAGAATGGTCTCACAAATGGAGTAACCCGATCCTCTGGTAGTTGCCCCATCATTGGTACCGCCGGCTTCGCGCGATTCTTTCGACAAACCAAGCATCTCCTAGAGACTCGCTTAACCGCTGTCCTAACGCTAGGAATCCAATATCGCCGTCGAATCTCAGCGATTATCGTCTCATCATTTTGGTGGCGCCAGGTACAATGATGAAATTCCACGATAAGATCAGTCACGCGATGTTCCTTAGGAAGTATAATTGGCCGCCGAGTGTATGGAGAAATAGCCGTGGCGTTGTTTAGCCTACCGTTTACCCGTATGACTCCGGATTCGTCCAAGTACGGCGTCAATTCGAGCAGTGCACTATTGCGTTCCACGCGCCCTCGAATTTTCAGGGATCTGTAATCTTCATCGTAAGCTTCCATCTGAAGCACACGGCAAATCACCAGGTCTGCTCTCTCCATGTCAGATGGATCTAAATGAGCGGATTTCCTTTCAGTCGGTCTGCGCCTGCAATTATCGTAGAAACGTAAGACCCAACTAAATATTCGTTTTAGTCGCTGGAATGAGGAGAACCTTTCGAA